CTTTCTGGGCAATGTAGCCGACTGTTGCTAAGAGGTGTGCCAGTCTTTCCCAGGATGTCTCTATAGGCTTTGAGGCCATGTGTTTCAATGACCATGTCTGGGCTGTTTCTGAGCTGTGTGTTAATTTACATATTGGGTGCCAGGGGCTTCCTGGGTTTGGTGCCTGCCTATTGATTCCAATGTGGCCTTTCCTGCATTAGCTGGGATGCGTGCCTTGCTGCAGGGGATTTTCGCCCTGTCCCCAAGATTTTCTTTGCACAATGCCTTTGTGATTCTCAGACCAGGCTTTGGTTTACCTTAGCTTTCTGGGTATTGGTGGCCATTTAATTGGCCTGGCCGTCAAGGTGCTTTGCCTATTGATCCAGTGGCCCAACATTCTTCTGGGGGTCTCAGGCTAAGTGACTGGTTTCTGTACCTATAATGGTATTCTGTAACTTGGGTTTTCGGTCCCTATACTCATGTCTCCTACTTGTTGGTTCCTAACATTCCTCTGGATCTTTTGGATTTTGCCAACTGTTGATCTGTCCTAACTCCTTGTGCTGTGTTTCCTGGCTTATTGACTTTGACTTTGCCTAGGTTTCTCTTGGCCTCACTATTGTGCTTGCTTGTACTTTGGCATTTGATGCACTCTGGACGGGCCTCTGCATTGAGCCCTGTTCTTTTGCTGTATCCTTGTATGGCTAGGCTCTGGCTGCAGTTTTTGTTTACTGCTTTGTTTATGTTTGTCAACATAGGATTCTTCTACCAAGGCACCATGAGAGTTGATTTGGGAAACAACTGAGTCAGGCCTTCCCATATATCAAACACTGAATATAATGAAGCACATGTTTTCTGGGAGGCCTGCAGTGGTTCCCATTTCCACCGTTCCCTTCTCTCCTATGAGGTGTTAGAGAGAGTTGTTTGTACTGCTCATGAGGGATGGGGGGGGGGATGTGACTGGGACCTAACATGACCTAGGTTCCCACCTGGTCATGGTCAGGTGCATCACATTAGGGTATTCACCTGGCAATGATCATTTACCTTGATACTTTACTTAGGGTATCTAAGTTTCTTCAACCTGTGGCTTTTGTTGTGCTTATGCTTTCTCGTGGGTTTTGAGTTGATATCTGATCTCAAAGCTCATCCTTTGCCTTATTTAGAGAGCTAGAGTCTGGTCCTGACTCCCAGTAGTTGAGGATGGGTCTCAGGTCTAAGACTTTGCTTGACCAGTGCTTAGCCCAGTAAGCTACAGTGTGTCCCACCTGAAAAATGGCGTTTCTCTACTTGGTCCTTGGTTTATGGGCTAATGCATTTTATGAGGCAGCCCTTGATGCATTTTAAGCAAATAAATTTTGTAAAATACAAAATATTGAATACTGTATACTGTAAAATTAAAAGTTTGTCACAGCATACTGTACTGTAATATAACAACTAATAAACTACTTTAGCATAAAAATGACTGATGCCATTTTATTTTAGGGAAAAAAAAGTAGAGTGAGACTGAGACATTCAGACATTGTAGATATCATTCAAAAACACCTGCATGTCTAGTTATGAGAAGGAGGGGAAGGATAATGCAGACTTCAAGCACAACAGATGTGTTTTAAGTTCATGTTTATTACATCATCAGACCCAAGTCAAGTACAAAGAGAAAATGGGGAGAGCGAGTTGCAACGTTTGAGTAGAAATGGTATTTATACATGTTGCATTCATGTTTTATTAGTTGACCCAAGGCCCAACTCAAGAGGAGTCAGACCACCATGAAGACTATACCAACAACCACAGAGAAATTAACTCTTAACAGCTCTCAGATTTTATTCAGTGCCAGGGAAGAGAATCCCGAAACAAAAGCCGAAGTGAGTAGCTATACAGTAGTCAGACTTCCTGACTGAGCACCACGCCTTAGAGTAAATATTAAAGCAACTGTATCCCCTCTGCAAAGACAGGCTAATCCTCAAGAAATACCCAGTCTATTTAATTTATTTCTACAGAACCAGATATGGAGTGGGTAGACACCAGGCAACAATTGAGGATTGCTTGCTCCTCTGGCTCTATTGAGGTAGCTACTATTGTTGGTATGGTGGGAAATCAGCTAACTGATAGCACAGGTATAATTGCCTGTCCTGGTGGTTCCAATTTTCTGTTGAGCAGGTGGCAACTTGTCAAGTGTTTTGTTGTATCTTGAGTAGTTGCCTTGGTGGTGGAATTACTTATTTATCTTTTTGTTGTCTCTCCTCAACTATATGGCAAACACCTTTGCATATAGTCATACTATCACTAGTGAGCAAGATATGCTGAATTGTCCAATATCAAGACCACCAAAAGTAAGATTGACAAATTTTATTAGAGAATTGAGCAAGAGACGAGATAAATTTCAATATACTGCCAACAGGTTTGCCTGCTTTAGCACTGAAGAGCAGCAATATAACTCACCACCACCTATAAGAATTGACCAGCAAACCAGCAGAGCTGCCTCCACTTAAGGTCTAGACCTTCTGAGTAGGTACGGGAAATTGGGGCTTCAAGGATGGGAAAGGGGGCGACTGCCAATTAGAAAGGTATGTGTCATAAATTTCACACCTTATTGCTGAGCATGGCCTCACTTGGTTGCTTCTCCTAGCCAACTCGCTACAAAGAAACAAACACTATGGAAACACAAATTTTGAAATTTACCAGAAGCAAAGTGCCCCAAGAACTCCACAGACAAGGTGTCTGGTGGGGCAAGGGGGAAATGTAAACTGGCTTCTAAAGAAGGAAATCTTGACCCATAGTCAGAGCTAAGGCAAATGTGTTGTGATTGACACACACATACAATCGTGAAGGAGAACAGAAACGATAATCACAATAGGCCCCATTGGAATTAACGTCTCGGGAATAGCCAACAATTATTATTTGAAAATGTGTTGCAGAGGATGGGTGCTGCTAGATATTCTGTATATTCTGTGCTGTGATGTGATGTGTGAGCGAGAGGGCAGGATGACTGGAACCTAAGAGTGATCTGGGCTGCTACTTGGTGGTAGTCAGGTGCATCATGATTAGTGTCTTTACACAGAAATGCCTAAGTACTTCAGAGTACCTAATTTTCTTCAAACAAGTACTTTAGTGTTGCACCCATGCTCTCTGGTGGGATTTTTTTTGTTATTGATCCCTTATCTCCCAAGCTTCCCCTCACCTTGTAGAAAAAGCCAGATTCCTTGTCCTAGCTTTCAGTATCCAAGGGCAGGTCTCATAGTCCTGGTGCATTTTCCTAAGATATGGCTCTACCAGTACTTAGCTCTGGGAGCACTCAAAGAAACTGACATAATTATTCCACCATGAATAATGGATTATTCTTCCTGAGAGAATACAACTCAAATTGTTAATTGTTATTAATTCCTGTACTGTATAGTGTTTATTTAATGTGACCTATTTTGCCACATTAAGATGTATGACACCTTAGAGTGAGGTGGATGCCTTCCTGCTCATCCACTAGGCCAGGAGTCAGATTCACGAAGCAGTTACGCAAGCACTTACGAGCCTGTACATCTTTTCTCAATCTTTGGCGGCTTTGTTTAGAATTATTAAACAGTTAAGGAGCTTCGAAGCACCAGCAGGTTGCTTATAACAATAACAACAGTTGATTGGGAAGTTTTCATGCTTGTAAACTGTTAAACAAATGTAAACAAAGCCGTCAAAGATTGAGGAAAGATGTACACGTTCGTAAGTGCTTGCGTAACTGCTTCGTGAATCTGACCCCAGGTGTTTTTCTCCAGGGTTATACAATAATAAACTCATTTGTAACATTGGTAAATTTTTTTTAATAAAAATGTCACTTATTATGTCTAGATAAGATGTCTTGAATTAGTATGAATCATGGTAAAGGACGTAAGATAAAATTCTTACCTTGATTTGTAGCCTACCATGACATGGAAGTTTGGCATCAAGACGAGCACAGTTTCTGACATTTGAATGCAAAAGTACAAGCTATTGCAATTTGCTGATATTGTACTGTAATACTGCCTTGGTGCTAGTATTTTAAATAGAAAGACCATTAAAGAAGCTAAGCACGAGAAATTATATGCAATTTGTTTATGGGAGATAAGTATTGAAACATTGAGAGGGTGGGGGTGGAGCAGACGAAAGTCTGGTTCCTGCTGAGACGTTTTGTGCAAGTTGGAGTGTTCTGACTTAAGTTAGCCTAGAGTGCCTTAGAAGATTAAAGGATAGGCAATTTAAAAGAAAATTAAGAACTGTTCTCGATAGGAAAACTTTACATTATTTACAGATATATAATGATTGGAGACATTATTTAACATAATGTTTGTCCAGTAAGAATTTGGCTAGTAGGCTAGAAAAAATGGGCCTTAATTTGTGCTAATGTTTATGTCAGTCATCACTTCATGTGCAATTGCATGTACCCAGTATATAAGACTATGAAGTCTAGATCATTAAGAAATTACAAAAAGTCCTTCTTGTAGTCTATCATTCAAATAGTCCTTAGGTAACAAGAGTGATATTTTTCTGAACTGGTTAGCAATCATTTTTGACCAGATGTTCAAGAATATCATAAACAAAAATGGGAACAACTTCAAGTGGTTGAAGCATCATTGCTTTTTGGATAATAATGCTGGCCAGTACCTAGTAAGAACTTTTTGAGGTTGCTCTGTAGGGACTCGTGGACAGGACCTTGCATGAACCCCTGGCCAGTGCCTAGCAGGGACTCACAGGTAGGACCTAGCACAGACTTGGAGTCAGTGTCTAGCAGGAATTCAGATTTTCACCTCGTGATGCCAAACTCACTCCTTCCATGTCTAGAAGGTTTACTTCAGTTTGATTAACCTGCTAATAAGCATCCTTTTTTTGTGTAATTTTTGATGTACAGCGTATTTTTCTGTAAATGCAGTAGTGAATTGACATGCAGTAGTTGACACACATTACTCCATACTCACTTTCATAGGGAGGGGAGGAATACTCGATAACAAAAAAAGGTGAGTGATATAGTAAAAGAAGGTTATAGATATTAAATAATAAAAGATTAAAAATATCATTTATCCTTTCATTATCATTCATAGTATAAATTATAGTATCACAAATAACCAGATCAGATGAGTTGTAAATGGTGTGTAGCTGTGGGCCTCTCCACACAACAGCCTTTCAAATAAAGGTTTTACAATGTGGCCAGTTTTAAGGAATATAATATCAAGTGAACAGCACTCATGAATTGTCATTTACATTTCATACAAATTAATTTACTATATTTGCAAACTACTACTACCCAGCTGTATTCCATGTGTTGCCTATATTCCTCACACTCCCAAAGTCCCACCTTCTTCCATGGATTTATCTTGTCCTACCCTCGATTCACTTTAATACACTGTCTTCACCAGTCTACCATCATCCAGCCATTCAATGCTTTGAATGAAACTGAAATTTGGCGTGAACTTACACTGGGAAGGCTGCATGCACCCAGCAACTTCTTTCATCTTGATCCAATACTGCCACTGACAACTTTAATTTTCTCGAGATACTTATAGGAACAGTAACAATCTAGTACTGATTATTTTTATTGTATATTATTTTAGTTATCTGAAGTGACAGCATTCTGTGTAAACCATTTCAAAAAGCCACTTTTCATCACTTACTAAAATTGCTAAACAAATACATATACCATGATTGAATAATAATATAGGCCATTACTATTGATAATAACTTTCAAAAACTAACTATTGTATTCCAAACAAACTCTTTGTGATCTTTGAAAAAATTTCAAGCATGAAATACAAGCAGTAACTTTGCTCTACAATACCCAAGATGGAATATGCATTGAGAGTGACCGTTTCAGTTGTTGCCACACATAAATACTGTACAATTAGGTAGTATTTAGTATAAACACAATTACATAAAATCTTCTAATATACTTGTGAAAAACTTGCACATCAAATCATTATGTATGTATGAATATATACATATTCACACACACACACACATACATATACATAAACAAATCCAGGATTACTTATATTTAGCCTATTTTACGCTAGTTTTCCAAAAAAGAAACATAGTCTGCGAGTCTACGCAGCTGCTCTTCTGATGGTGTTGGGGTATGCGGTTGAGGAGCTTGTGGAACAGGGAGGATCATTCGTGTTGGCTCATCATATCCCCAACCATGTCCTTTTGCTGCTATCACTGCTTCATCTACAGTCATACCAACTAACTGAGCAAAGTCTTCAGCACTAATGGATGTATAAGCGCGTGCAACAAGATCCACAGCTCTCTGACGTACATGATCTGAAACAATACAAATGGATTTACAGTACATGTAATGTATTACATTCATTACTGCTATATCTGTATGATTCTAATAACACATTTCTACACACACATATAGCATACTGTAGATATATCCCAGTCTAATTTAATTGGGTGTTTTTGAAAGTAAAGCTATAATAGTAAGTGGACTAGTTTATACTGACTGTGGTTTAATTGATCTCTTAACCAGCAAGTTGAAGACAAAGTTGTGAAGAAACATGTTTAAAAAAGCTATATTTAATATATAACAACAAATAACTGATAAAGGGTGGCATTGCTCATATTTTGGAAAACAATTCATTGCATTAGTCAGAAAAACATAATCGATTGATATTTAGCATCTGCAAACTAAATTCAAAAAATTATTTTTAAAATTAAAGTTTAAACTTTTAACTCTTTACTTAAAATTTATTAGTAAAATGCATTTCAAGAAACAAAAGTTAATCCTTCCTCGACAGATTAAGTTGGGGAGAAATATATAAAATATTCTCATAAAATATTAAAGCTTTACTCTATCTTGCACAATGTCAAAGTATTGAAAGCAAATTAAAATAATAATAAATAATGGATAGTGTATACAAACAATTAAATAATTTACTTGCAGTATGCAAAATTTTTTTAATTTAATTAATCTATGCTCTGAAAAGCCCAGTTAATGAAAATTAAGTGAACCTCATTTGAGGATAAAAAAAAGAGAGAGAGAACTATTAGGACTGCATTCATTTCTTAAAAATATAACCAGTCAAAGGATATACCATGCACAGCCTTCATGATGTCCTTAACAGTTATTGACCACTCTTGCTTGAGGGCGGCATACACAGCTGGAAGATCCCGCTGCCATAGGTGCTGACCAACCTCCCATATAAGGGCAAGTTCTGGTGTAGCATTCTTGGTGCTTGAAGGTATACGCTTCCAGAGAAATTTGGCTCCAGTACTGAAAAAATATCAAGTTAAAAAGTGTCATGTAAGTAATTGAATTGTAAAAAAAATTAAAAGTTATAACCTACGATAAAAACAATAGATGGATTAAAATAACTATTCAAGTGAGGATAGAAATAAATCAAATATATATATATATATATATATATATATATATATATATATATATATATATATATATATATATATATATATATATATATATATATATATATGCACTGCTGAAATAAGATACTGTAAACTTTACAAAAAAGAATAGTTGCTTGCATCAGACTTCCATTAATAACTTATATAATTATAAGTTATATAATTAATAACTTATATAATTTAATAATTCTTCAAAAAATCCAAGTCAACTGAAAATTAAAGATACTTTACATAGATGTCTTTCTTTGAAGTGGTGGTACCCTCTTACTATCTTATGAATATTTAAATGTATATAACTGTGAGCTTACAGATCATTTTGTAGCAAGTAGATAGTAAGAAGCTGCTCATACACATGTGCTGGAGGAACCCCATTAGGAGCCTATAGGAGAAAAAATATTAGGTTTAGCTAAAACAAGATTTTACATAAAGAGAAATGTAAATTGAAATTTTGTAAATATAAAGACCTTAAATGTACATTTATAAATTTTAGCATGCCCTTGAGTTATTGTGCTGTGAGGCTAAAGATTATTTTTTAAACCTCGCTTACCATGCAAGTGCAGAGAATAATTGTTCCAGTTTAGCAACATAATGTAGTTTCATTTGGGCCTACGAAACTATACCTAAGTTTACTAAACCGTAAATGTTGCAAACCTTCTTACATGTTCATTAATGTAAAATTGTATCACTAGTGTGTTCCAGAGAAATGAGCCACCAAACATCCAGGAATGTGATATGCATTCTAATAGCATGGAAATGGCAGGAGGGATATATAAAGACCATAATAATTAATATACTGTACTGGTAAGGTTTCCTTATAAATGGTAATATGTCTCACCCCATCCTGAGACTATCAATAAGCCGGTCGGCCGAGTGGACAGCACACTGGACTTGTGATCCTGGGTTCGATCCCAGGCACCGGCGAGAAACAATGGGCAGAGTTTCTTTCACCCTATGCCCCTGTTACCTAGCAGTAAAATAGGTACCTGGGTGTTAGTCAGCTGTCACGGGCTGCTTCCTGGGGGTGGAAGCCTGGTCGAGGACCGGGCCGCGGGGACACTAAAGCCCCGAAATCATCTCAAGATAACCTCAAGATAAGGTGTCCAGAGACTTACACACAACAAAACAATGGATGTTGCCTTTTCTTCATATGTCATTTTATTAAACAAAATATCTCACTTTTTATTATAAAGTAAATAAACAGTAGCCATTTTTTAGTCTATTGATATCAAAAACCTTAAGCATCCAAAGACCAGTATCTTTGCCTTATCAAAAACTATATTCTTTGTCCAAAAAATTGTGGCTCTCGATATTTTATTTGATTACCCAGAATTTCAGTTACCTGGACATCTAGATACCAAATGGTCCAGACAATTAAGATGATAATGTGTTGCAATTATATGGTTGGGTTCCAGAAATCTACAGAAGTCCACTATTCTCCACTCTTTATTCAACAAAATACGCTTTTAACTTTGTGTAGGCTAGTCAGATTGGTTCAACAATGAAACCACATTAAATGCTTGGAGCATGTTTTGCCCGCTGGTCCCCTGGCCAGTCAGAATGACTGCTAGTAGTGGCATCTTCGCCATTAAGCTACAAAGGATTCCATTAAGTCTGCCAGGCCTCCAGTTCCCCGACAACGGCATACCAGTTTAGGCCCCCAAGTAAAGGGAGGTCCGAGGCTGTCCTCCCCGGGCCACTGCTTCACCCGTCTCCTGCATCACTGCTAAAGCGTCCGGCCATATCTCTTGCAGTAGTACCACCAATAAAGCTTAGCCAAGATATTTTGTTAATAAACAAAACTAAATTATTTACATCTAACTCCTGTTTTTCGAGTTCCTCGCCAATTTTATCGTAGTTGAGGTCAGCCATTGTTTACAGTGAGGCAGAGGCGGCTTTCACGTGGACCCGGATCCGGACTCTTCGGTACTGATGCATTTATTCAGTTATTTACGAGAAAGCATAATAAATTATATTTAACAATTTTAGTCTAAAATTTATGTTTGTGTTTATAATATATATATAAATATATTCTGAGCGAGATGTGTGACGTCACGCTGACCAATTATTTAATCTTCATTTCCAAACGAGGCTGTATATTATTTTGCGGGAATTTGTGACGTAATTTGTGACAATGTAAACACTGATATATTATATATGTATATAACAAGTAATTATCACTTGTTAACTGACGCATATTTACGTTATAAGTGATTTTCTATTTTTCATTATATTTTACTGACACTTTTACTCTGACGTCATCAGTGCTTAATTCACGTGAAAGTTTATATATTTATGTTCGATTCTTTTCCAATAAATTTTAGGAATTAATTTAAAACTGTTTTAAGATAAATTCTATATAATATTTAAATTTGACTGTGAATAACTGGTACTAGAAAGTTACATGACATTGAAATGTTATTTTGTTCAACAACTACACTGTACAAAGTGACTGTTGTGGCTGTTCTTTTTCTTCTTTAATGTCTGTCTTACAAAGGCAAACGCTTCCTCATAAGCACATTCTCCTCATAAATTTACCCGGACATTTAAAATCCATCCTTCATTCAGTCACATTTTTAAATACAAGAACTTAATTAACATTATACACACCGGCATTGCGACATTATTACCTGAACTATCAACTTACCTGTAAATATACGTCGGAAAGGTCGTCTATAAGGGATCCAACTATACATTCCCAGCCTCCGGCACGCTGGCCAGGCTCCGGGATGATAGAGGATCAGAAGCTCTAGAGTCTACGTCTTGTGGCACTTATTGTTTACTCACCTGTTTACAAAAAAGCTCTTTTGATGTAGTGTTCACAGGTTACCTGTTTGCTAATGTTTCCGTCCATGTAAGCCTTCCACAAGCCGCCGCTTGACCTAAACTTACAACGAATAAAATAGTAAATAAGGTAAGTTAAATTCACGTGTAGAGTTTTAAAATGGGGCCTTTTTTCAATTATTCTGCCAGTTTGAAGTTTCCTCCATTCCAGTATTTTTTATATTTTCCAGTATGTGAGGCCGGTGTGGAGCCGGGCCGTTGATGGTAAAGGTTCTCAACATAACTGGTTGATGTGGTTCGTGTAACTTAATGTACATTTGTGCTGGTCTTTGTAATACTGGAGCACTTGGGCGTTGTGGTCGAGTGCCTTGACCGCGGCCGACAAGGTCTTCGTTAACTACCTTATTCAGTAGGAAATTTTGAACGAGGAAGTGCTATTGTTTGTACAGTAATTGTCAAGAGAAACGCACATGGATCAGGAATTTAGCATTTTCATAAGTTGTCAGCAATACTGCATGATCATAATAAGAAAAGTACACTTGTCCTTTGGGGAAGCTCCCTCTGTATTACAGCAAAAATTGTACACAAACATTTTGACAATTAATTTCTTTCTTTATTATGCACCCCATACCCATCCCGTGGGCGGTGGTGTAAAGGATTACAGAGGCACATAATCGGTTCAGGAACTGAACCCTCTTTTTGACAGCCTATTTTCTAATTGTAAAATTGGATACATCTTTAATTTAGACTGAGTTAGCTAAGGTTAAACAATGTTGGGTAGGTTTTAAGACGTGTTAAACCATTTCGGGTATGAAGGGACTTTGTAACCATCATTTTTTCACACATAGTAATTTAATCTCAAAATTCTCATCTCAAAAGCCACTGCCATAGTGATAAACAGAGTTGAGTCACAGCCAAAAGGTCTTAACAAGGTTTCCTTAGGCCACCAACTGACCTTTCTCCTCATAACTACCTTACCATTCCATGCCATAATAGTCACCTGACTACTGGGTACCTATTGACTGCTAGGTGAACAGATACATCAGGTGTAAGGCAATATGTCAAAATATCTCGTCTTGGGTGAGAATCAAATCCCAAACCCCTCAGTTGTGAGGTTAGTATACTGACCACTACACTACACCACTATCTAGTTGCTCCTTATGACAATACTTTCAGAAAAATAGGACTAAATAATCTACAACCACATTAGCACTATACTTACACTGATGGCTCTGTCAATAGGTCACACTGCAGCAGCTTGTAAGTTTTACAGAAAAACAGATATGCACAAATTACTTGTGTAAGACTGAACAATTGGATTAGGGACCACACATACAGCATTAGCTGCACAACAACTAGCCACTAATACACTAAAAATATAGTTGTAGTAATCTTCTGTTATTCAGAGTTAGCTTTTTAAGTAGTGTAATTGAATACCCAACATGCAAAATAGATTCTAGGGATGTTGTAATGTCAATTGTATTAATAATACAATTGCAATTGATGCTGTACTGTAACTGATGCACAGAGCAAGAGATTCATAATGTCCAACATGATGATACAGACAATGCAGCTAAAGGTGCATGTAACAAACCTGAAATTGAATTATCTTTGTATCACAATCTGTATTATCAAAACCATACTACTTCAAGTAGCTAGGACTGACAAAAGAGTAATCACTGACACTCAAAGGGCATTTTTTACACTAGTCATTTCATCCATAAAATCTCATCTTAAAACTTTGTTTTGTATTATACTGTACAGGTACTGTATACCCATTTTGAACATCCTCAATACAGTGTATTTCACTCACTATAGATAGGAATATTACAAACCACAAAATCAAATTTGCAGATGACACTAAGATTTATGGTAAAATATTAAGTGACAGTGATATTGAGGTCTTACAGAGAGATCTACATAAACTCCACAAATGGTTAAAGACTGGCAAATGCTTTTAATGTCAAAAAAGGCAAGACCTTGCATTTGGGGCATAACAATGCATTACACAACTACCGAATGAACAACATTAGCTTGCAGCAGATTGATGAAGAAAAGGACCTTGGAATCAGAATCCACCAATCACTGAAAGTTGCACAAGTGGGAGCTACAGTGAAAAAAATATACTAGTTATAGTCAAACAAAATTTTGACTTCAAGAAAAAAAAGATAGTTGTACAACTGTGTAAATCTCTGGTGCCTTGCATACCACTTGAAGGTTCACTTGGATTATATTGTCCAAGCATGGAGACCTCATCCTCAGAAAGACAAAGTATCTACTTTGGAGAAAGTTCAATGCTAGTGACTAAAATAATGTCTGAACTAAGTTGACTCTGATACCAGGAATGGTTGAGGACCACAAAGATAACAATGCTGCAAACCAGACATGACAGGGCTGTTATCATTGAAACTTTTAAAACAGAGTACTGAACAATTTGGAGGATATTGCTCAAGACAACTGCTTCAAAAGGTCAGATGTTACATAAACAAGGAGCAACAGCTTCGAGCTCAACAAGCCACAGTGCCAGATGGAAAACAGGAGATACTTTTCCACCCGTAGATACAGGAGATGCTATATCTGGTGCCCGGTCAATCTAAGGCTTGACCGGGCGGGCACCAATCCTTAACTGTTGCCTCTGTCCACACAGCAGCGAATGGGTAACTGGTTGTTAAACGATTTGATGGGTCGTATTCTGTGGATAATTAGGATTAAGGACCTGCCCGAAATGCTATGCTTGCTAGTGGCTTTACAAGAATGTAAGAACTCTTGTATATATAAATAAATAAAAATACTATTACCATAACCATAAATGCCTAAAACCTTCTAAATTTCAAAATCCAGCTCCACAAAATTATCAGGATAGGAATATACCTGCAAAAAAAAATAAAAAACAATGAGAGACCTTCAACAAGCCGCCGGCTTCTTGCCCTCGTTAACGCCACTAGAGAGATAGTGGTCCTCAGGTAAATTCAGCTAAATATTGGTTTTAAGTATTGGTAGTTAAATATATATTAATGATAAGCATAAGTTCATGCATCAGATCATAAGGAGGAGGAGTCACTGCAGTGGGCCTGTTGACTAATTCTGAGTAATGTCCATCTTGTTCCAAATTCCCCTTTTTTTATCTATTGAGCCTATTTTTATCTAGCCATACCAGTTGCCTTTATAATGTTGACTGGCAACCTACTCTACTCATTTTTCACCCTGTTGCCAAACCAATACTTTCCATGTCCTTCTTGAATCTCAACTTCTCGAGATTTTAGCTATTGGTTCTGACCTGGTCTGATAGTTTCAAGCCCTTGCTCATATTTTCCCTGTTGATATTGTTCCTCGACGTGAAGATATCAGTAGTATCTTCCCCTCGCAAGCCCTTTTAATCTCTCCTCATATGGAAGGACACAAATACCGGGGATCAGTCTGGTTATCCTATGTTGAGTCTTCTTGAGGGGAATGGTTGTCCATAATGTAATTTAAACACTCTGTGTCTCTTCAACCTTTCTATATTCTGTATTAGTAATACCATATTACTAACTCTGTTATCAAATGGTCCTCTGGTATGGTATGCAATGTAAATTTTAGCTTGATGAAATGATATTCGTCAATATTCCAGTGCTTCAAGTTTTATTAATACTTCACGTTATTAACAAATTGGCCTATTTCGTTAAGAATGTGACGTACGAGGTGAGGAGGGATAAGGCCGGCAGCAAGGTGCTACCGCACACACTCCAGTAGAGTAGTGGGGCAGCACCTTGTTGCACTCCAGTAGAGTAGTGGGGCAGCACCTTGTTGCACTCCAGTAGAGTGCTCCAATGGGAACACACTCCAGTTGAGAAATCGGAACTATTCCTCCACAATTGTATTCTCAATGTGAGAAGAACATATTTGATTTGTTTTTATTGCATAACTTGTTTTTAATCGTCGACTCTACCAACCATCACAAGTCTCAAAAACTTAGAATGTTATACCATTTCAGATGTAGGTTTCTTTAGCTTATTTTCCAAGTAGGCGTTTTGGCTGGTGTAGTATTATTACATATTAATATGCTGAGGAAGACTGAGAGACAGAGGAGGACATTTGTATGAGTGTGCCTACCTACCATTATATCATGTGACCTTGTTGCTCAGAGCATCCATGATGAGTGTGTGTGTGTG